GGGCCAGAAACAAATCCGAATACACTGCATGTTGTAAATGTATTTGGTGCCGACAGCCTGCGCCCGTGACCGTGTGGCTGGCTGGTGTCACCCTGGAGGATGGGGTAGGAGGGGTGACAGGTCTGCAGAAGCCGGTGGGGAAATGAGACCCTGTCACCAGGCACATGGCCTGTGTATGCCAAGTGTGTGAAACTCACGGCCCGTTATCCGGTGTCCGGTGAGTTCAGGTTCAAGAAAAAAACACTAATTTCTATTAAAATGTTCTATTATTTTCGCTTCCCCTTTTCAGGAACGCTCCTTGCTTGGTAGCTATGGTAACCCAGCGACAATTAGGGAAGACGGATGTGGCTGTCAGGTGAAGCGGTGCTCTGACAGGCCAGGCCGTATTAAACAACAAAACTCTGCCCCCGGGGGCCTGGGATGTCGCCCTGAGCGTCAGAAGCTGGCAGAGCGCCCGTCGTCGGGTCGTGGCATCGGAGGGGTGGGCACCCGGTTCCCCCTGATATTTCTAACATCCTTCACGGCCATAAAGAACCATCCACTTCAACATGGGCCTGCTCCACGGGGTCAGACGTTGAGTACATGCACCCCATTGCCTTGGCAGGGCCAGGCCACGTGATCTCCTGGGGCTGACACGGCCCCCCGGGCGGACGATCCCCACCCCCGGGCCAACTGCCTCTCAGGTTTTCCGATGCCTGTGATGTGTGCCCTATACACGTGCAATTTATTTGTAAATAAATAAACAAAAGGGGACGCATGGGAATGATATTCTAAGCAGAAAAGGGCCATGATAGACAATTTGCAAACACCATGCTAACCCATACACACGGTATCCCAGAATGACTCGCTGGAGGCCCAAGTCGAGCTGTTAGCCAACCTCACCTCCGTAAACTTTGAAAAAAGATGCACATAAAGACGTCCCCTCTGGTATTTATGAACTAGAGGCCCGGTGCATGAAATTCGTGCACGGCGAGGGGGGTGGCCCTCAGTGCAGCCTGCACCCTCTCCTATACAGGACCCCTCGGGGGATGTCACTCTGGGATTGGGCCTAAACTGGCAGTCGGAGAACTGTCTTGCAATCCAGGACCGCTGGCTTCTAACCACTCACCTGCCTGCTTGCCTGATCGCCCCTAACTGCTCTCCTCTGCCGTCCTGATCGCCCCTAACTGCTCTCCCTTACCGGCCTGATCGCCCCTAACCGCCCTCCCCTGCCGGCCTGATCGCCCCTAACTGCTCTCCTCTGCCGTCCTGATCGCCCCTAACTGCTCTCCCTTACCGGCCTGATCGCCCCTAACCGCCCTCCCCTGCCGGCCTGATCGCCCCTAACTGCTCTCCTCTGCCGTCCTGATCGCCCCTAACTGCTCTCCCTTACCGGCCTGATCGCCCCTAACCGCCCTCCCCTGCCGGCCTGATCGCCCCTAACTGCTCTCCTCTGCCGTCCTGATCGCCCCTAACTGCTCTCCCTTACCGGCCTGATCGCCCCTAACCGCCCTCCCCTGCCGGCCTGATCGCCCCTAACTGCTCTCCTCTGCCGTCCTGATCGCCCCTAACTGCTCTCCCTTACCGGCCTGATCGCCCCTAACCGCCCTCCCCTGCCGGCCTGATCGCCCCTAACTGCTCTCCTCTGCCGTCCTGATCGCCCCTAACTGCCTTTGCCTCGGCCCCTGCCACCGTGGCTTTGTCCCTAAGAATGTCCAGAAGACGTCCGGTCTATCTGGCTAATTAACATATTACCCTTTTATTAGTATAGGTATTAACCGTACAAAGGATTCTGGTCCACCCCTAACGGCCTTGATCACACCTAACTGCTCCCCTGCCTGCCTGATCGCCCCTAACTGCTCTCCCCTGACAGCCTGATCGCCCCTAACTGCCTCTGCCTCGGACCCTGACACCGTGGCTTTGTCCGGAAGATGTCCGGTCTATCCAGCTAATTAACATATTACCCTTTTATTAGCATAGGTATTAATCGCATGAAGGATCCCGGTCCGTCATTTTTATCGCCGAGGAGCCAGTAGCCAGGGAAGGTCACGGTGCTGAGGCTGCCCTGGGCTCAGCCGTGTCTGTGCCAGAGCAAAACACAACGGAGATGGCAGACCTCGCAGCTGCTGCGGATCAGATCTGTCACATTCCCTGTGGCTACTATTTGCCGAGACACGGCTTACGTGGCCGAGCTCACCACGTCATCAGCTCTGCCCCCCACGGGCCCCTGGGGCACCAGAGCAAAACACCACGGAGACGGCAGACCTCGCAGCTGCTGCGGATCAGGAAATCTGTCACAATCCCCGTGGCTACTATTCGCCGAGACACGGCTTACATGGCCGAGCTCTCCACGTCATCAGCTCTGCCCCACATCGGCCCCAGGGACACCGCGCCCGCCTGCCGGCCACGCATCCACACGTGCAGGCATTCCTCCCGCACCTCCCCTCCGGTCATGTCCCCGCTCCCACTGCCGGCAGGAGAGGCAGCCGCGGGATTCACGTACGCAGCAGTCAGGCACAGCTCAGAATCGCAGCGTCCTGTCCGCCTGCACCGGGTAATGGGGCCTGGAGGGCATCGCGCTAACCGAGAGAAGCCAGTCAGAGGACGACGAGGGTCCCCCAATCTCACTCGTCTGTGGGGTCGGATGAGCAGCACAAACGGACGGAGAAACTAGAAAGAGAGGCGCAGATGGACAGATCCCAGAGGGATGTGGGCGGGAAGATGAGAGATTCGCCAAAGAACATACATGCACGTAGGCATCGCCCGTGGACGCAGACAACAGGTGGGGAAGGTCTGGGAGGGGTCAGGGGCTGGGTGGAGGGGGGCAAACGGGAGGACAAGGGGGACAATTGTAACACGATCAACCATAAGAATAGATATCCCACCCTGGCCAGTGCGGCTCAGTGGATAGAGCGCTGGCCTGCGGACGGAAGGGTCCCGGGTTCGATTCCCAGGTCAGGGGCACATGCCTGGGTTGTGGGCTCGATCCCCAACAGGGGGCGTGCAGGAGGCGGCCGATGTGTGAATCTCTCTCAGCATGGATGTTCCTATCGCTCTCTCCCTCTCCCTTCCTCTCTGAAGTCAATAAAAATATAATAAAAAAAATGAAAGAATAGTTATCCCTGGCCAGTGTGGCTCAGTGGATAGAGCGCCGGCCTGCGGACCGAAGGGTCCCGGGTTCGATTCCGGTCGAGGGCTGTGTTCTGTGTAAAATATGACCAACCTGCTCTCAACGATACATGTGTCTGCATGGAGTTAGCAGCATTTAACTGCGAACACGGGGAGGGGCCTGCAACCCAGGTCTGTGCCCTTGACCGGGAATCGAACCCGGGACCCTTCGTTCCACCGGCCGACGCTCTATCCACTGAGCGGCACCAGCCAGGGCCGGCGGAACCATTTTAATTTTTTTCGCTAGAGGCCTGGTGCACGGATTCATGCACTGGTGGGGCGTGGCCTGCGGGGATCCACCTGCTGTGGGAGCGCACTGACCCCCAGGGGGCAGCTCCTGCATTGAAGGTCTGCCCTCTGGTGGTCAGTGCACGTCATAGTGACCGGTTGTTCCGGTCATTCTCTTTTTAAATGTTATAGATTTTTTTTATTGATGTCAGAGAGGGACAGAGAGATAGAAACATCCATGATGGGAGAGAATCATGGACCGGCCGCCTCCTGCACGCCCCACACTGGGGATCGAGCCGACAACCCGGGCCTGAGCACTGTCCGGGAATCGAACCCTGACCTCCTGGTTCCTAGGTCGATGCTCAACCCCTGAGCCCTGCTGGACGGGCGGAACCTTTTTGTAAAGGCGGAAGGGCGCTGACTGTGGGGTGAGGCCCAGACACTGCGCCCAAGCCCCCCCACCTCACCCCCCACCCCCGTGACCCTAGCGCAATATTCCAGTTACGTCTGTTACGAAACTCCATCTTTAAACCTTGTTTGTGACCATCAAGCACCCCTTGCATTTAACTTGTTCCCTTTCTCGCATCTGCAGCCTCTGAGCACGGACCCCGGCATGTACTCAGTTCTCAGTCAATAACAATGGGCCAGCCCGGCCAGTGCTGCCCAGTGGCTAGCACCCACAGATGAACCAGGGGGTCCCGGGTTCGACACCCGGTCAAGGGCTCGTACCTGGGTTGTGGGCTCGATCCCCAGTAGGGGGCCACGCAGGAGTCAGCCGATCAATCATTCTCTCTCATCATGAATGTTTCTATGTCTCTCCCTTCCTGTCTGAAAGTCAGCGCCCACTACCGTTCCTCACGTGCGGGAAGCCGGGACG